TCAGTTTTTTTGGCAGAACAAAAATGCTGCTTGCAATATCAAACAATCATAAATACACACGCATTATGCAATTGCCTGTTTATTTAGTGGCACCAGTTTTGCAAACTAGAAATTACTTCTACTTTTCATCTCACATACGATCTGAAACCATTCACAGGCTGAATGCAATTTCTTCGATGAACTTGAAAACAAAAAGTACATTCTTTAAGTTATAACTGAATTCACATATTTTCTTCGGACCAGGAAAGGGTACATAATACAAAATATACATTTATGGAATTTCTTTAAAAGTTTCAATCACACAAACTGCAAAGTGGATGAGTTACTGTGGAGAATTTTGTTACACATTGTGTTTAAAAAGAAAAATCTTTCTGCAGTTGTATTAGTCTTACATTTAAAGATTAAAAAAATGAATCTATATATAATGCAACAATGAATCTATATAATGCAACATGCTTTTAACATGTACATGTCTCTCCACTCATGACATCTATACAAATTAAGTGAAATAAATAATTTCAAGAATGAAACCAATCTGGACCGGCCCGGTGGCGCACTCGGTAGAGTGCGGCGCTTGGGAGTGCAGCGGCGCTCCCGCCGAGGGTTCAGATGCCATATAGAGACCGGTCCGCTCACTGATTGAGCGCGGTGCGGGTGCGACACCGAGGGTTGAGATCCCGTTGCCGGTCGCGGTACGGGCACGACACCGAGGGTTGCGATCCCGTTACCGGTCACGAAAAAAGACAAAAAGGGGGAAAAAAAAAAAAAAAGAATGAAACCAATCAGCATTGGGGCACATCATTACAAACAAGTTATTTTCCTGCAGATATGCTGTTGACTTAGTCAAGGGCTAGCCAGGTAAGACTATGATTTCTATGTTTCAAAATTCTCACAAATGGAAATTAAATGAGCAGTAATTGAACATCCAATTTTGGCAACAAATGCAACAACTTAATACATTTTTTTTCATTGTAGTTATATTTTAGTATAAATCTCATTAACCCAGTACATCAGTGGCTGTCTGTGTTAGATCCTATTTTAACATTCTGTATTAATAAGTAAATACCTAATTCCTTAGAATCTGAAATGAATTAAACATTTAATAAACTCTAATACCAGGACGCTCAAAACCTTAAAACCTGAGTGGGATATGACAGTTAAACATGTTGTTTGTTGACGTTATATCCGCACTGTGGAGGTCAGAAATGTTCCAGACACATTCAATTTCCGTTTTACCTCTTTTATGTTGAATTTCAAAAGTAGTAAATCTTAAATACATTATCCTCCAAAACTAGTCTGAATATCATGTTTTTCACCTTTAATCACTCTTCCCCCCAAATACAATCTTTTTTTTAAAAAAAGGTACTTTAAAATCAGATTCTAGCCAGGCCCCTTCCACCTCTAGTTTTTCAAAAGTGTAACAATTCCTTAAAATAGACTCAAGTTATTATCATGCCCTTGAAATACTTTTATGGGCTTTACAGGAAAAGGATGATGCCGTATTATGCTGTAGTATGGGATCTTAGCTAAGGGATCCATGAACTACTGCAATACTGTAAACTTTAGGGAGTTATGTACATTATATTCATTTTCCTGGGTGAGGAAGTCCCTAGGATTCATCAGTCTCAAAGGGCCTGTGACTCCAAAAGGTTAAGAATCATTGCTAAAATGAATTTGTGCCATTCACTGTACCTAATTATTATATTACTAACTTTGTTCTGTAGCTACCCATTCTCTTACACAAATCTAACTTACTTCAGATAGTACCATACAAATGCAAATGTTACCAAATGGTCTTTTACTGGATCAGGAAGACTATGTAAAAGGAAAGGAAAAACACTAAACAATTTTTCTAAACGTTTAGTTTAATGAGAAAGCCTTTAGTAAAAAAACTGCATTTTGGAGCAATGAGAACTGAAGGGTTGGGTTTTATGGTGAAAAAACACTGCATTTATTTTTCTTAGTTGTTTTTATTTTGAAGAATCAGTAACTTTTATCTTTATCTTTCTTGCTGGCAAAATCAGATTATCTGAAGCAGCGAAGGTTGGTTCTTGCTAGTTTATGTGACACAACAGTTCTTAAAAATTTATAGCCAGGTCTAAGATAGACCTTCCTATGGCTTTTAAAAGAATTAAAAGCAATTCTCCCCCGCCCCTCTCACCAGCATTTCCCCACTCCATCTCCCAAATTTTCTTACTGTATTTTCACCCCCGTTTAACATAGTATTGGCCTTGATGAGGTAATGCACTAAGATTTCTTGCTCAAGAAAATGAAATAGGCCTATTTCAGTTTAAAAGAAGAGAGAACACCAAGAGGGAAGTAGAGAAAATGGGGGCAACATTTCATGTAGGATAAGGAAGAAAAAAATGTCACTTTGTTGTTACATCAACTTAAACAACTTTGTCCCCATCTCACAAAAACTGCAATTTCAATACCATCTGATTTTTTCTAATTAGCCTTCCTATCTGCTGGTAATATAAATAAATGAACAGTGAGAGCAGAGGCCATCAGCTTAATATATAAAACAGGTAAAAAGAAAAGAATCTGTGTTGAGGTGAACAAAAATGGAAAATGTTCATTTGATGATGAGGTGGAACCAATGCCTCTCATCATTTCTGTACAGCATTCTGACTATCAGTAATGGCTAACATTTAACTGAGACGCATTATTTTGACCAACAAAATACAGTATTATACATTTAGAAAATGTATTCTTAAATATTTCAAGCATAATCTGAAGTAATATATAATTTAAAAAATACAAACCAAATCACATGGCACATTATTGAAAGAAATAAAGTAAAATGAGGCTTCTAAAATTTCAAACTATTAAGACGACATCCTAATGCCTAAAGAAAAACTAATTAGAAGATTAGATCACTCAATTAAAAAATGGTCATCTCACTAGCTGTATCTATAAGCAAAAGTATAAGAAATTCTTTAAGGTCTCATCAAAGAAAAACCTCCAATGAGAAACATTTATAAACTGAAATATTTACATATCTTTTCTAATACCAAATCCTAATACAATAACTGTATGAGTTTGAACTACAAGTATACACCATGAAATTGAAACAACCCCCCCCCCCAAATTCAACAGTTCTTTCAGACATCACAAGTTGAATTCCCATATGAATTATCTGTCCAGTAAAGATGGGCAGTGAAATTATTTTCAAATATTAAAACACATAGTAATCATTTGGCTAAAATTGGATATTAACACTGGCAGTGTTGTAAGAAAAAAACAAGAGTTTTATTAAATTAGATAAATTTAGCTAAAGATATTTCATATATATTTAAATGCCTTAAACAAAAAACCCTGTATGTATTTGCAGGGTTGTAGAATTCTAAGAAATCCATTACCTATTAATCTGACTTGCTGCTGTGTCACCAGGAAGAGTAAAGGCCATACTGAATGGACTTAAGCATCAACAATCTAATTTTATTCTTATGCAGAACGAAATATTCTTTTAAATCAGAGTTTTAACTCTGGGGAAAAGAAAAGAAATAGAAGACTGTTTTCAGGTGAATAAAGGAAGTACAAATGAGTTCTTTAGGGTAGGGGCCTGCCTTGTTCAGGAAAGCACCTGGCAGACAGTAGGTGGGCAATAACTTTTTTTTGATGAGTGATCCAGTTATAATATTAACATACACTAGATTATATATTCTGCCCAAATGTAAACTCCTTGAGGTCAAGGACCTATTCATCTCTTTACAGTCTAAAGGTGCTTAGCCTAGAACAGTGTTTTACAGATAACATTCAAACCATTTTGTGGAAAAGCTGAGTTATTAGCAGGATTAATATATGGCCAAATGGATGATCACTAAAAGTACTGCTATAATTCAGATTATTTAAATTACATAACTGATTTATCCTTTAATCCAAATTTCTTTATTTATGAAGTCAGTATGAAAAATTAAGTGGCTAAAACAGTTGCATAGTACACTAGAAGCGAGTTAATGAAATAACACTAAAAATATGTTTGACATAGTTATAAAGCTGAATAAGAAAAGTACCTCTGATTTTCTAAACTAAACGCTAATATTGAGAACTGCTTCAGTTATCTGTAAAAGTATATCCCCCTACAAAATAAAAATTAGGAGATCTTGTTAAAACAGTAAGAGAGAGATCAGTAAGCTTTTTTAATGTTAGGGTAACAAGAGCCTGCTATACAAAACTGAATTTCCTATTAAAAGCAGCAAACTGGGTTCATCCTAATAATACATTTAAATGAAAGTACATTTTGAATACTATATTATCATCACACAAAACTTTTTCCTTCCAAAGAAAAAAACACAGAACACATCAAAAGTTTTGAAGCATTGCCCTGAGATGCTAATTAACACAAAAAAAGGGAGTAGGGGAGCCAAGAATTTCAGTGGTACAAAAATGAAGTGCACAACAGAGGTGCAAAAGTGCCTTTTAAAAGTGTGGTTGGTTCCCCACCACCACCATTACCCCCAGGCATCAGTAACGCACAGTCCGCTGTTATAACGTATACTTCCTTCCTGTATTTTTATAATGAAAAATTATATCTAGTTTGGCAGTGCTGACTCATGTGGAAAAGATTTAGTCTTCTTAGATCACACTTACATATAGCTTTCTCTTACTTCCAAGCCTAATTTCAGTACTAATAATTTTAACAGAGGAATATTTTAATTTCCTCTTTTTTATTTAAAGACTCTCAAATACAAAAAGGCTCTAAATATGCTGTTTGCATTTGAAATATAGCTTTTTATCACATATTTACTTGTGATTTAAGTTTTCCATCTCAAAAGATTCCACGGTCCAGTTCAAGGTTTTGAAGTTTCTGTAACTAAAAACTTCAGTCTACTGAAAAAAATTGAAGAACTGACTTACTGTAATAGGGATCTAGCCTTCAGTGCTAGTATGCCTGGTCATCAATCTACACTAGAAGCACTGGTATTCATTAAACGCACATTTAGATGCCTGCAAAGCCATAACTTAGAACATTATCATACTTCGCACTCTACCACAGATTCAGACATTAAGCATTTATTGTAAGTTAGGTATGGAATCGGTTCTGTAATTCCAACTGTTGTAAATTTCTAAATATAAATAGTACTTCAGTTTGTCTTCATTCATGCTGATTAAGATATAAATTAAATACAATTAAGTTACATTTAATCACCTCACAAATAAGAGGGATAATGAAGAGATTTTGCTGGTATGTTAACTACTTAAATCTGAGACATTTCACATTACTTTTCCCACTACTTCCCTAACTTTACATTAGTTTTAAGGCTATATATACAAATATGTATATTCCCAATTTAAGGAAAAAATACAACAAAATGGAGCATACTAACTTTTATATACAAAGTTTGATTTTGTATTCAATGTTGTATTTTAATAGTTTTCTAGTGGGGAATCTGCCTACTGAATGATTAAATTACATGGTGAAAATACAATATTCAACCTAGAGAGACAAAAACACAGAAGGGCACAGAACAGTAGTCTTTTCAATGTGACAGATTTTAAAACTTACTTTCACATGCTTAATCAGAGGAATTTAAGCCTAAATTAAATTAGATTATTTTTATATCTACAATTCCTTAAGCTTTGAAAGTTATTTTTAAAGACCAACAGCTAAATATTATCAACATGCTATATTTCAAATCACAAATACATCTTAACCACTTGGATTCTAAAGACATGGGCCAATTAAAAATCACAGGCAAACACATACTCACAAACACACATACACCTACCATAGAGTGTTAGATTGTCAAACTTTTGACAATTATTTTAAACAGTAGGCAAATTCAAGCTGATGCACATCTTAATGAAAAATAAGCAGCCCAAAAGAAACCTATTTAAAAAAATAGATTAAGGAATGACAGTAACTTAAATCTTTTAGTCTTTCGAATGGAAGGGAAACAGTTCCATCTATGCCTTGAGTAACAAATAGTATTGTTCAATTAAGAGACTAACATCTTTCCCTATGAGAAACATCTCATTAACAATGGCATGGTGTTTTAAAAGGCCGGGGAAAAAGAGGAATTACACATACATGATTACATTTCTTGTTTGTTAAATCAAGCTTTATTGATAAAATGGAATTTAGAATATCTTACTAGGAACAGCAGCAGGCCCAGCCAATCATGATAGCAAAAATGTGGCAGTCTCCTACTATATGTAGGAAGCTGCTGCTTATCAATTAGTAATTAAATGTAAGGACTTGTAAAAGAGGTGCAAAGAATCAAGGCATTTTAGCCCCAAGATTGATATTCTTATGAATATACTGTATTACCTGCAATACTCATGGCAACAAGGAGAGAACATCCTGAAAATTAAATGAAGGGACCAACCAGCTTTATCAATAATGCCAATCCCCCTGCCAAGTACATTAAGATAGTTTTCAGTTAAGTCCTCCGATGTTCAGCTTTGTAAGATTTTGAAATTATTCTCCATAGTCATTTGCATGTTTCAAAGTTTAGCTGATGTGGCTGCTGCTCTCCCTGTCGCAACCCCAAGTCCAAACACAATGTGACTTGAAAGGGCTGTAGATCTGTTGCATCACACAAGCCAAACATTTCTTGTAACTTTGATAGTGATTTAAAGCAGTTCATAATTAAATATGAGCATTTTGTACAAGGACAATTACACTTTACAAAAAACAAAATCATACAACAAAAATTGCTGGAGTCTGATTTACAACATGAATTATGGTTTCAAATCACGCTTACATAAATCTCAATTTACAAAAAAAAAAAAAAATCAGTTCTGGGCTAGCTGTTGTACTGCTGAAGTCCTCTGGTGTAATCATTCTCACCCATGTCATATCCCCTTCCTTACAGTTGAAAATGGATGTTACAAGGTTCAACAAAGTTGAGCTGTACTCTCCTTTGGAGGTGAAGGTAAACTCCATGGCTAGATGAGCAGTTTTACCACATATCATCAGTTGATGTAGAGTCCTTCATAAAAGGGAACAAATAAAACAAGGAACTAAATTAAAGCTTAGAGGAGCAAAAATATTTTACTTTCTGGATAATGCAGAAAGATAAGATTTTATAAAGTTGAATTTTAGAATATGAATGTTTTTTAAAGTATATAAGAATGTATGTGAGTATAAAAAATATCAATATTTAACCTATTCAGAGTTGTTAATCCTTTGTTTTGTTTTTTGGAAAATATTGAAAATATGGTTCTACTGTGAGGTTGATAAAACTACTAAAAAGTTTTTTTCTTTGATAAAATCCAGGCTGTCTTTAGAACACCACTTTTATAAACTTTTATTGCATCAGAAGACATTAAGACCTCAAGTAATAGATTTGAGGAAGCTTCATAATGCAATACATAAAATATTTCAAGAGCTGTGCCCAAATGATTTAAATTACCACTTTTTTAATAAACATCATACTACAACAGAATTACAACAGGAAACTTAATTGGAGAATATGGTATTCTAATGTCTATTTATAGAAACAGAATTATCTACTTTAATACTTAAATGAAGTACATACTTCATGATGGACAAAAGTATTTCCAACCATTAAAACTATTTAATAAACACGGACATTCTGAAGTTCTGTTGCAGCTGCTTACAAAACTCAGAATGATTCAAGATTCTGGTAGTAAGATCTGTACTACCAATTTCAAAAAAAAAAAAAAAAAACCACCGAGTGGAGGCAAACCTTCTGAAGTTGATTGCTTGTAGAGGCTTTTTAAAAAACCAGAATAATTCAAAGGGACTTTCTTCTTTTTTGAGAGAGGTGGCCACTCACCATGATTATGTCCTCAATCACTAGAACTGTGGTGCAGGCAGAGATCAGAGCAAGCAGAATTCAGAGCAATCAATCAGGGGTGTGTGTAAGAGAATGGGTGCAGTGAACAGCTCTGCAAAAACAGGTAGGAAGGATATGCATTTAGAGTGGAGGGGAAGGGAAAGCAGAGGGAGCTAAAATGCTACTTACAGTGTCATCATTTTTGTAAGGATTCAGTCTATTGTAAACGGCTTCAATTACATTCCGCCTAAATTTAAAAAAATGCAGAAAATTAATTCTTCAGAAAGCACAACACTGCTTAATAACTCATAGCCAGGTGTTCATTAAAATTTCAAAAAACAGTTCTATTTCTTGCTGTCCATAAGTGAGGCTCATTTTAAGATATTTGGGCCCTAATGTTAAAGTAGAGGTGAATTTTCTTTAAAATGTGACATTCCACCAACACAGTTAATAGAAGACTAAAAGTTAACCGTTTAAAAAAAACACTGGTCTACATGGTCTACTTCTATTTGAACTGGCCTAAGTAATTATGAGTCAGTCAGTAATGGCAATGCCATTCTTAAGATATAATAGTTATAAATTAATTAAGAGTTGCACCTTAGTTTTGAAGAAGTAACTTCAACATCTGTTATAGTAAAATAATTCAGATATACTTTAAGTTTCTGCTTTTCTTAATGCCCCCTTTATCTTTTGTCTTTTTCCGTGTCCGGCAACGGATCGCAACCCTCAGTGTTGCCCCCGCACCGGACCGGGGACCGGCAACGGGATTGCAACCCTCGGTGTTGCTCCCGCGCCTCGCTCAGCCAGTGAGCGGGAACCGGTCTGTATGTGGGATCTGAACCCTCGGGCGGGAGCGCCGCCGCGCTTCCCAAGCGGCGCACTATCCAGTGCGCCACCGGGCCGTTCTTAATGCCCCCTTTAAAAAATTCTATTAAAACTGAAATGTCAAATGTGTCATTTTCATGACAAGTCTAAGAACTAGTTTTTAAAAAATATTTGATTAAAAAATCTGTAGTGGTATTTACTCCCTACTTCTAAAATGGATTTGAATCAATTTTATAGACAGTCATTTCATAGAAGGTTATATGGAAGAAAAATTCCCCCCCCCCCAAAAAAAAAAAAAGCTTCAAACAGGAACTTTTACAATTACTACTTAGTGAAATGATTACAAAGAACTCGGGGACACTTCAAAACACTGCGAAGAATCAAGAAAATTAGTCAATAATATATCTTCGTAGGTTACTTATATGGATATTGAGGTAAACATGTTTTAAGCCTCGAATTATAAAATTGTTTGAATTCTCCACTTTAATTTATTAAGTAAAGATGTAAGCTTAACATTTAACACAAATTAATCCAGGTCTATGAACTAAAGTGTAAAGGAAAAAAGGCAAAAAATGCATCCTCCCATCTTCCCTGACACCCAAAACCAACTAACCAGCAATCAACAACCAAAAACATGGCCCTGATGGAGAAAGAGAATCTTTGGGGTGTAAAGTTATCCAGGGATTGACAATCAAATTGTAATATTACTACTAATAATAACACCTAGAATCTTTTAGTGCCATGTAATTTAGTTTAAAAAATTCTTTCACTCTATTATATCATTTTTCCTCTATGAAGAAATCAATGCCACCCAAGCTTTCACTAAAGACAACCCTCAGTGTAATTAGTCACATACAATGATATTCTGTTATCTATTTTAAACATGCACTGTATATACTAATACTAAAAATCACTGAAATCATAGGTTAAATATTTTGAAACACAGATAAATGCATCACTTTAGAAATCAGGTAAATACACATTTGATCAATGAAAACCTAACATTTTCATATACTGACATAAAGCACAAGAGTGCACAGAACGTTAACTTACTTGCTTGCCAATTCACCCCCTGGCGGGAGGCTGGGGATGTTCTCACTCGCTAATGTGCGCATCACATGGACTAAGTCAGGAACGCCTTCCCCCTGCTTCTTTATGATTTCTGGGAATCAGAAGTACTTTTTTTGTAAGTGTTATCCAAATTTAATTAAAAAAAAAAAAACAAGCTGAAACAAAGATAACTTCGGTTTTTAAAGATGAAATGTATCACATCTGAGATTTTCTAAACTGGTATTATGTAAGAAAGATCAGATTAACCTTTGAAAATTAATGACAAAAGGATGCATAAAATCACATAAAAGATTAGCTTCAAAGAATAAAAATAAGACAACTGTAAGAAGAAAAAATATTTCACGTTATATTAATGTATTACATAATCAGGGATATGTGTATACAAATGGGAATGTCCTTTCTTAAGATGCCAACTAGTTACACTTTTGAGGAGATTAACTCCTCTCTTTGGACTGGAAACATGTTTCCTGAACTTTGCCCTTTAAAATACATTGCACAAATTAAGAAATAAACAATTTCAAGATTTGAAAAAAATAATCTTTAAGTATAGGGAAATTTATTGATTATATACTAACCCAAACCATTTTTACATATATTTGCAAAATGATAACTTAAGTAGCATGCACAGATTAGGTTATGTACTTGAGCACCACTCAGCTTAATTCTTCTCTGAAGTATCTTGAAACAATATATAGATACATAATACCATTTCCTTTGTTGATTACTTGAACAAAGTCTTAAATGGAAAAGGTCTAAATTTAATGACAAAATTTTTAAAAAGAGAAAGATTTAATAAAGCATACAACTTCATTTAAAATAATTAATTTCAAAACATTCAGTTATTAAATAGGTATAGCGATATGCTTTGCAGTGTGGTCATGCAGATGTATATTGTTATTCATATCACAGGTTATCAAAAATTATGAACCTTACAAAGAACTCTAAAACTATTCACTTTAAGTACAAGAAGTCTTCACTTGAAGTTTTAAGCATACTTACTCTCTATGGAAATTCAAGCCAAAGGTATTGTAAGTTACATGTTCAAGTTTTGTTCAGTTTTTGTTTTTCAATGTTTATAATAAGAAATGGTATTTTCCTTGTCACCACTGGGGCAAGAAATTATCACTTAGTTCTCAATTTGTAAATACCTTTGAAAATAACAATACATATAAAGATCTTCATCCTTTGATCAGCCTCAAAATATTAATTCATCATTAAAGGCACATATTAAAAGATAGACATTGCTCCTCATAATATTTATTTAAATGGCTCAAATTGTCCTTTCAGAATAAAGGCCAAATTTTCCCATCTATTATTTGTTGCCTTTAAAAAAATTTTTTAAAACCAGTCTTAAATCTGAACAAAAAGCAAGGATCTCAGATTTGGTTTGCCAAGTTCCTTTATTGCCAAGTTCCTTTATAAACATCTAGTATATTTGCTCTACATGGTTCTAATGCTGCAAAACTGTTGTACAAAAATAAAGGGATTTGATGTTTACCTAAACTGCACAATTTCACAATCTAGAACTGTAATACACTTAACATACAGTTTCTGCTAAGTCAATACAATTATTTGGATAGATAACTAGATACAATAAAAATGAACACTGATGATAAATTCAATCAATGATGGTTTCAGGTCTAAAAAACATTACCTTGAATCATCTGTATTTGATATATCTTACATCTCCTTTGTTAAAATATAAATTAGGATATTTTAACTGTGAAGAAAATTACAGGAAAACAAATTCTTCTTAAAAAATAATGAAGTCTTTAAAAACAGTTAATATGTCCTATTCCACGTGAGACAACCTCCCTGACCATTAATATACTAGGTCTTGCTTCTTTCTGCTTTCAAAAAAGAAAAAAAAATTCCTTTGATTGCTCTTAACTATACGTCTTAATTAGAATTGTAAAAAGACTAAATGCTTTCATAAAGAATATATATGTATAGACAACCCGTGTTTCACATACACATTACAAACACATTCTGCTCCTCCCCACCGTCCTCTACCAATGTTGGAAGATTCTGTCAGTTATCTCCAAATCAGCAACTTTAAAGCTCAGGTAGTATGTAGCAACGATTTTAAAAACATATACACATAAATATAATCTTAAATTGGCTTAGAAGGACCACAAACTTAATAGCAGTACAGTTTAAATTGGGAGCTGAATCATCATACCCCCAGAGAGTCAAGTAGAAGGGCACAGATAATAAGAGAAAGGAGAGCTGAAAAGCCTTTGTCCTTTTCTGTGGTGTGGACGGAGAAGCCAAAAATGTTCAAAGCAAATAAGATGAGATTTAGTAGGTCACACAATTTAGAGAAGGCATATATTTAAAGAAAGAAAATAAGAAATGGGTACTTGCTACCTGCTTTGGAAAGTGAATGCAGTATTTTTCATTTACGACGAACAACTTTTACAATGCAAAAGGTTACATTCTATGTTTTTAAATAGCAGCAATTTTAGTTAATATAATATTTATTGTCTAGGTGCAGTCTCATTAAAGCTATCTGAATAAAGAACACCATATTTAATTTATGACACATAATCTCCAACTGAATGGTACAAGTATAATAGCACTTCAACATATCAAAAATACTGAGTTTTAATGTAAACTTTGTCCAGGTGGCAACTCTTGCTTGATAATAAGTAATATAAAATTTAATGCTGTAACAAAATTATGTAAAGTGGATATTCCATAATTTCAGCAAAAACTTCCTTTAAGGAATGCACACTAAAGAAAAAAGTAGCAAGTCACTTCTAAAAGCTGATCCCATTTCATAGTAAAAATATTAAAGTGCTTGTTCTTATTACTTTAAACCAATAAGAAAACATGTATGCCCAAGTTACTTTAACCTGCCAATACATTAAATATCAACTTATCCCTATACATATTATCTTATGGTTTCATATTTTTCTACTAATCAGCAGGTGGAAACAATGGCTTTGTAGCATTCTAATTTTTAAAAATTTTGTATTATCTATTAATAACTTATATTGAAATGATTAATTTAAAATATAAAATTCCAAGACCCTTGGTAATAGTGAGGAAACAGACTCATTGAATAGTATGTCCAATGAATCAAATACTAAATGGCACAAACACGTACTAGATGTATCACTATCAAGTGGGGGAAGGCAATGAAAACAAAACAGCAGCATTTAGTACTAAAATCAAAACCAATCATGATTTTGATATTGACAATTATTAACATCATACAGTAAAAAGGGAGAAACAAAATTAAAGTGCATATTAGTCTTAATAATGCAGGCATAGTGAGATGTAATAGTGTGGTAGGTATGTCATTGCTTGCATGCTATTAGAGGTTTTTAACGTGCAAATTAAAGGCATTAGCAGCCCAAAATGCATTTTAACACTATTAAAGTCATGTCAAATTTTTCCACTTTCAAGAAACTGCATAATCTACTTGCTTACTACATATATGCAGTAAATTGGAATTCTCTAGATACCAAGTAGTAGCTGCATCAAAGATCATTTAAATTTTTTCAAATATTTAAAGGCATTACACTTGAGAGGTATAAACACCTTTCTAATTGTTTCAAAGTAATATGTAGAATTATGAAAAATATACTCCTGGAATTCCCAACTTATTTTTTAACCTTATTCAGCAGTTACATTTCTGCCCGGTAGAGAACTGTTATGTCTCTTATTCAGGTCTGTCTTGTTTAGGTTGGACAGTTTAAGACTTAGGCAAGAAGGCTTGAAACAGTTTAAAGCAAATTTTTTAAAAACTGTGGCATATGAAAGTTGTTAATAACCAGGTAGTGACCTTCAAGTTATCAAAAAAAATCCCTAGAGATTTTAAATTGATATAACACAGCTTTTCACAGAAAGATGGTATTCAAATTATCACCACCACAAATAATGTCTTTGTAATTAAATAAACCACAAATCAGATTTTCCTGGCATAAAATTACTCAGGCCAGTGAATTCACCAAGAATTTTAGAGCACACATTTTAGTCTTTTAAAACAAAAGTATCCCATACAGAATGTACAGGGCCATACTAGTTATTATTTCTAACATAACTGGGATAGGACAACTGCATACATCTAAACAGCTACTACAGAAATACCCTTTCCCACTTTTGCACACTAAACACCTAAATGTCAAAGGCATATAAAGATCTAAAAGCTAACTGGGATAGGACAACTGCATACATCTAAACAGCTACTACAGAAATACCCTTTCCCACTTCTGTACACTAAACACCTAAATGTCAAAGGCATATAAAGATCTAAAAGCTAAAATGTTAAAGTTTGATTGTGTTGAAGGGTTTTCTTTAATAAAACTACTTATTTTTTGTTAAATGATCCACCTTCTACTCTGCATTCCAGGTACTTGTCCAACTCTGCCTCCTTCTTCACTGCTTCTGGAGATACTTTGGGTGCATTTGGAAAACAGATCAAAATCACACTCATGTTGTCTCGACTTCCCTGGGAAGAAAAAAGTTTGAGAAAATATTTTGGTTTTCTTTTTGCTCTTCAAAGCCTTGAGAACCTTCATAGCCATGTCAATTGTAGTTACACTGTTCTAGTGAAAATATATTATTTTTAAGGAGAAAAAATATATATTCATATGTGTTTTGTGTGTGTGTGTGTGTGTGTGTGGGCAACTGCTTCTCTGATCCCCCCATACAGCATATAGAATATATAGTATAACCAACACTCCAGAAGACAGGAAAGAAACATTACAAGTTAAATCCTACTGTAATAATCATTTTAAAAAGTTGTATAAAACAAAAACTATTTCTAAACAGTTACTGGTGGCCAACTTAACTTGAAGTAATACCTAACACAAATATACATATGCACACGTATTCATCCCATACAAAAGAAAACACTAATGGTATTCTTTACAAGATTGGGCCTGTAGTTGCATGCATACTTGAAAATTTTAGACTTAAAATAAATTAAGGCTGGCTGGTTAGCTCACTTGATTAGAGCATGGAGCTGATAACACTGAGGTCACGGGTTCGGATCCCCTTACCAGCCAGCTATAAGTAACTAAGTAAGTAAATAAATAAATTGTGGGGCTAATACATTTGCCTCATAAATAGAAGAAGTAGGAATCAGAAGTAAAACTACATATAAAGTTGATAAACCAGCTTTTAACTTTCACAATTTAAAAAACCTGACCACTTTTAGGAAGTATATTCATTTTTAAGACACCTAAGTATTCAAGATGCTGTAATTAAAACAACTGAAATGATGTGGGCCTTCCCTATTAATTATTGAAGTTAACTTTTATATTTCAGGTATTTAATTCAGCTGTATGGAAAAACTGACTATATCATTAACTTAAATAACAAATAATACAAAAAACTTAATATTAAATAGAATCTTGGAGGAAATTTGTATAAAACGTGGCAAATGTTAAGGTATTAGGTAATTTTTAAAATAGAGTAAAAAAATAGTTGAATGCAGAAGAGACAAAATGGAATCTGATTCATAATTTACTAATATCTGAATCAGACAATTCTCTCAAGAAAAGTTTTACTTTAGCAAACAAGTATTTAATTCTCAAGTGCCACAGAATAAACTCAACAAATAGATGTTACTTTCATGCATACTGACACATAACATACTCACCTTAAATTATTGTTCAGTTCTCCCAAAATTTAGAAAGTGACAGTGTGCATTATCAAGTTGTTACCCTATTCATTTTTTTTTAACATATGTGTTGGATATTACATAAACTTGATTTCTAAGTATGATCAGATTTTAACTATGATTTTAATTACAGCTGGTAGCATGCATATAAAAGTACAAAGAATACACTGACTTTCTATTCCTGTGTGTTAAAAGAAAATCAAATATGTACTCTCAGAATAGTTTTATAAAAATCAACATTAGTTTAAAAAAAAATCAAAGAATGAATTAATGTGTATTACTGATAGAACAGAGTGTGATAGAAAGAACACTGAACCTAAGACAAGGATACATGTCTATGCTTAACTAGGTACTTTATGTACGTGTACACACACACACACACACACACACACACACACACACACACACACACACACACAAACAAGCTCATTAATTTAATCCTCAACAGTCCTGTGAATTAGATACTATCCTCTCTTTTTTATAGCTGAAAGAGGTTGTTCAAAACTGTGTAGTACAAAAGTAACAGAGGTAAGCCTTGATCCGAGGTCTGTCTGAGTCTTAAGTCCACAGAGCCTTGTCTAGCTTTAGCTTTTTCATCTGTAAAATAAAGTGGCTGAGCTAACTCATCTGTTTACACAATCCCATTTGATCTTCCCAACAATCCCATGAGAAAGAGTAATAGTATCTGTCTTACTCTTTTTACAATTAAAGAGACTGATTTTCCAGAGAGTTTAAATAAGCTTACCTGAAGTCATACAGTCTCATATCATGTTCTTCTTACTCCATGTCCAATGCTGTTTCTATTACATCACACCAAATGACCACTAAAGTCCCTCTGTTAGTGCTACAGATTTATTAAACCATAGACTCAAAGTGCTCCCATTAAATGTACTGAGCTACCACACAGTAAATATTAAAATTCTAAAGTGCTTTTCATTTATAGACATCAAAGCCTAACCCTCCCCACACTCTTTTTTAAAACAGCACTCTGATATAATCTTTTTACCTTTGATAATATTCCACATTATTAAAAAGCTCAAGTAGCCATGGTTACTAAAAGACTAAACATTCAGATTATAAATCTCTTGCATAGATGGTAACTGGGTAATTTATTTCTAAAAAGTGTTCCTATGATATATTTTCATAATTGGTGAAGAGTATCCTGCAACTGTGCCAAAAACTTATTTTTGAGAACTGCATGTTCTAAGATGATTAAATACTATAGTAATTAATACAACATAGAATTGTTTTATGCTTTAAAAAAAAAGTCTAGCTACCTTATACAAACAGGTGTCGACTACTTCATTGCAAACTTTCTCAAGGTCATCAGTGACTTCAAGTCTGGATCTTACAAAATCACAGAGCTCTTCATTTCCCATAACATCCCAGATACCATCACATGCAAGGATAATGAACTGATCATCTTCTTCAGATCTTTCAATATCATGGACTTCAGGCTCTGGTGAGACAAGCTGCTCTGTAGGACCTTTCCCATGGACACATTTGTAATCAAAATCCCCAAGGGCCCTCGATACAGCCAGAGAGCCATTCACACGTTGAATCATTACAGAGCCACCTGCATTCTGAATTCGTTCTTTTTCCAGCGGATTGCTTGGTTTGTGGTCTTGTGTGAAGAAGTGAACTTTCCTGTTCCTACAAAGTAAACCTCTTGAGTCTCCACAGTTAATGAAATAAGTATGTTGGGGAGAAATTAAGACACCCACAGCTGTTGACCCACTTCTATCTGCACCATGTTTCTTCTCTGACATAACTCTCATGTGTTCATCAATCTCCAGAAAACCTGTTCTGATTCCATTCTTTACATTTTCCACAGAAGGTGCTCCTGCAGACCCTTTAAAATCCTGGTTACTGGTGATGTGATCTAACAAATGCTCACAGCAGTATTTGGCAACCTGAGAACCAGCATGCCCATCATACACAGCAAAGAATGACCATGTTTCAAGTCCACTTGGTAAACCAATCACAGCCGTATGTGCATCCTCCATTTCAACGCGCCAACCTTGCATGCTGCTTAGCCCATATCGCAACCCATTACCCTGCCCCTGGGCATTATGCTTTTCCATCTTTGGCTTGTCTAAAAATGCTCCCATTATGTCTTGATCCTCTAGGTCTGCAAAGAAAGAGAAACAGGAAAGTCAATAACCATCTTATAAACAAAATACACAACCAACAATCTTTTTAAGAGGAAGGAGATACACAGGAAGCTTTAAATAAGAACTCACAACTCATCTGATAAGCAGACACTCATTGTGCTACTGACATGGAATCTGAAGATTTATAAAGAATTAGGGGGAAAGGTTGCACAGCTCAGAATGGACAGCAAGCAGAGAGAACTAAAGCACTGGGATAAAGAAAAGCTGATCTGACTCTCCCTACCACTTGAGGTAGAAAGAAGTCCTGGCAGTGGCCATCAACTTACATGAACCAGGCCAAGCATTTAAGGGTACTATGAACATGCACAATCTCTTAGGGAATCTCCAATTAAATTTTACATATATAAATCAAGAAAAGCCAAATGAACTCATAAAACATAAAGCCTATTAATACAAACATCTCAGCTGAACATCCAGGAATTTCCAAAGTTTGATTTTTTTTTTTCTTTTTGTGACCAGTAAGGGGATCATAACCCTTGGCTTGGTGTCGTCCGCACCGCGCCCAGCCAGTGAGTGCACCAGCCATCCCTATATAGGATCCGAACCGCGGCGGGAGTGTTGCTGCGCTCCCAAACCCGCACTCTCCCGAGTGAGCCACGGGGTCGGCCCCAAAGTTTGATTTCAAACTACCTAATTTTATTCCCACTACATGTACCCTCTGAAAAAGTAAAAAATGGTCTACTTGCGATGCTTCAAATGTGCATGCCCCTTCCTATAAGCCTTTTGTTCGTGTCAGTGTCCTTAACTGAAATCCCTTGTCTCTCCTCTCTACTAACAGAAAAAAGTATACCTATCCTTCAAAGCCTAGCTCAAATTCTCTTTTCCATGAAGTTTTTCAGTCTCTGATAAAGCCAATCAGTTTTTAGTTACTATAAATGACCCAGCCTCAGTTTTCAAGTTGTAAGCAATTATACATACAAACAGCAAAGCTTATTACATACAAATATAACAAAAGTAATCTACTGGAATCTATTAATCTAATGGTAATAACATGTACCATTATTATTATATTCTACAACCATTAGGTATAAACAGTATAAAGGAGATCAAAGGTTGAGTGACAGCCCTGCTTAAAGACTGAAAACTCAGCTAATCTAATCCTTTCCTAATATTCAAAAGTTAAAATCCCCTAGTCTGAAATGGGCCCACACAAGGCAGGTAGACAGTTGGTCAGGATTTAGGTTGGCCCTTACTTGGGTAACTGCTTCGGAATGTAGAGACTTGAAATCCAAGTAATCAAATGGGTCACAACTGAACTAAGGGCAATCTGAAAGGAGGATAGAATGATGAACAGAGATTTAATGGAGGTGAAGAGGAGATGGGTAGTAAGGGGACAAAGGTTGGGAAAAGTACCTAGGTAAATCAGTATGGAGTCTGACACCAGGGAATTGATGATGCTAGTGATGCTAAGCTGAGAGAGGAAACTGGGAGAGAAAGAGGAAGGAAAAAAAAACCCCTCAGGAAGGAAATAAAAACATTTGGTTTCCCAGTAACCTTTTCCCCCTTCTTTTTCCTCCTAGGGCCAAATGAATACACAGGCAGAGAAGACTAGCTGATTGCTGTGATATAACAATCTGCTACTCCTCTGCCCCCTATTACAGTTCCACTAATGGAAGGTCAATAATGAAAACTAGCCATCATTCATCCCCTACAGTGGTATTGACCGGTATACTTTTCTAACATCAAGCTGATACTCATTAATGCCATGAGTGAGTGTTTTGACTGGAGAAAGGACAATGTAATAAATGACACCTTATTAGCAGGCAATGTTTAATAATTCTAAATCACTCTGGTGTTTTACAAGCACCACCTTAATCTCTCTCCTCGACAATCCTCTAAGGTGAGTAATAATACGATCTCCAATTTACAGATGAAGAATCTTAGTCAAGATTAAAGAAGCTGGCCGAGGTCACTCAACTGATAAGTTTAAAGAAATCAGGATTCTAATTCAAGTCTGCCCGACTCTAAAGCACCATTAACACTAAGGCAATGGGTCTCAAACATTGTTGTGCAATAGAATTATCTATGGACCTTTTAAAAAATAAAGATTTCCAAATCAGAATTTCCAGGGTACAGTTGGAACCTAGGCATCTGTATATTTAAAAAGTTTCACTTGTGATTCTGAGGCTCAGCAAGGTTGCAAGTCACTGGAAAACATGAGATGGAATGCCTAAGGTAGAAGATGGGAGAAAAGAGACAGGTACATAAAGGGCCAAGGAGAAAAAATTAACTCAAGATGTGGTCAATCAAGACCACTATCCTAGACTTGAAGTAACAAGGAGACGATTTTACAGGAGAAAAGACTCCACAATCTTGAGAAAAGAAAAAAAAAATGTGAGTGAAACTCACAAACTTAGACAGAAGATAGCAGGAATGACATACTCTTCTAAGAATTCCCCAACAGCATAAAGTACTGAAGAACAGAAGTTATAGGGCTGGCCTGTTACCTCAGTTGGGAGAGTGTGGTACTGGTAATGCCAAGGTCAAGAATTTGGATACCAATACCAGCCAGCCACCAAAAGGAAGGGAGGCGGGGAGGAAAAAGAACACAAGTTATGAAGTTAGACCATTCTGGGTTTAAAATCTGGCTCTACTACTTAATAACAGTGTGACCTTAATAACTCTGTGACTACTTAACCTTTCTCAGTCTCTTTCCATCTGTATAATAAGAAGGTACTGATCCTACAGGGTTCTTATGAGGATTAAATGAAATAATGTACACAATATACTTAGTATAGTACCTAGCACACTGCAAAGACAATATAATGTAGATATTATTATTAAATAATTATTACATTATTTTTTTCTGCTAGAGGGAGAAGTCAGTTATAATGTTTCCTCCTTGCTACCAGCTTTGATCCTTAAATAAAAAACTTCTGCATGATATACTTTAAAATACCTAATTCATAAATAGCAGAAGACAAATTTAAAACAAAATGCCATTCCTCATTCATCTGGAAATATCAAGAGTTGGTAAGAATGTGAGGAAATAAGAACTCCCCAATACTGCTGCTGGGAGTATAAACTGGTTCAACCACTCTGAAATGCCACAGGCAACAACTAGTGAAGTTGAAGATGCACATAAGCAACTACTTGGCAATTACACTCCTAATTATATATCCCAGAGCAATGTTTTACAAACGGCGGACACAGGTGATGAAATCAGTTTAGTGGGTTGTATGTGACCTGCATTTTAAAAAAATGAAAGAGTGTGTCCCAGGTGCTAAAGGTAAGTAAAACTGTTTCTTGAAGTTTTTGTTCCAGATATATATTACTGTGGTCACAGTCAAAAAGCTTGAAACACACTGTCTTAAAGAAACTCTCCTATCTGCCCAATGTGAAATATACAACAACCTTTTTGGAGAACTGTAACAGTAAACGCTAGAAACAACCTATGTGCTCATTAAAAGGTAGAATGGATAAAAAATGGAATGCTGGGCCGGCCCGGTGGCGCACTGGATAGTGCGCCGCTTGGGAAGCGTGGCGGCGCTCCCGCCCGAGTGTTCGGATCCCACATACAGACCGGTTCCCGCTCACTGGCTGAGCGAGGCGCGGGAGCAACACCGAGGGTTGCGGTCCCGTTGCCGGTCCCCGGTCCGGTACGGGGGCAACACTGAGGGTTGTGATCTGTTGCCGGACACGGAAAAAGACAAAAGACAAAAAAAAAAATGGAATGCTATTTAGCAAAACAGACCTAATTATATGAACACAGGTATTTCTCAAAAACAACAAAAGGCTATATGCTGAATAAATGCAGCAAAACAATCCTAAATACATATTTGGCAAAAGTATAAAAACAAGGATAGAATAAAAAATGGAATGCTATTTAGCAAAACAGACCTAATTATATGAACACAGGTATTTCTCAAAAATAACAAAAGGCTATATGCTGAATAAATGCAGCAAAACAATCCTAAATACATATTTGGCAAAAGTATAAAAACAAGGATAGAATAGTGCCAACTTCAGGGTAAGCTCCATGAGAGCTGGGACTCTTCTTTTATTCACGGGTGTCTGCTCAGCACTTAGAACAGAGCCTAACACATAGCAAAAACCCAATATTTGTTGAATGACTAGTTTCTCTTTGGGGAAAAAAAAGAGAGAAGAAAATGGCTTCAAGAAAAGGTCCACAAAAGGGACTCAACTGAATCTGTAACTGGTATTTCTTGAATTTTGACTAAGTAACAGGGACTTTAGGAACATAATCTCTGCTTTACCTTTCAGTTTTCCTTTGGTTCATCTAAGGTAAATCAAACGCCTTCAAAAGTTACTTTTATTAGGAAGTCAAAAGAAAACCAAACCAGGAACCAAAGAAAAGGAAACCAAGAAATTTTTAGAAAGCACACAGGATTGTCTTAAAACTTAACTAGGATTTACCTCTCAATTAGACAGATTAGGAACCTTACTTTCTCCCTCATTCTTGCTATGGCCCACACTCTCACTTCGGAACAACTAGATGAGGTTGGTTATAGGTGTAACAATAACATCTAACATTTATGTAAGGATTACTACTAGTCAAGCATTGTTATAAAGTTTTATACATGTATTAACTTCTTCAATCTTCACACCAATCCTAAAAGATAGGTACTATTATTATCCCTGTTTTACTGATTAAGAAACTGAGCTGCAGTGAGGTTAAGTCATCTGCTGAAGGTCAACAGTAAATTGCCTCATCTCTGTCTCAATTCCCTTGGCTAAGGTGGGGGAGAGAAGGGAGGTATTATGCTTATAGTATTTTACAGCTACTAATCTAGCATCCCCCAATTTCCTCATCTATACAATGGGCGTATTTACACTTACCTCTGAATGTCACTGCAAGGTTGCAATGAGGATGCAAAGTAGCCATTCAAAGCATGGCAAAAATGAGGCACTCAGCAGATGGAAACTATTTAACTATTACTATGTTCCTACATACACAGCCACATCTAGATTCTGACCTCATCTAACAGGGACCTTA